GGTAGTTTCTGGGCACTGATCCTTCACAATTTATATTAGGGCATATGAATCTTTTATTATTACTAGTAAAGTGCACGTGCGATGCACGTAGTATCGAATGATTTTCGTTGAATAAGTTTGTAAAATAAATTAATTTATTTATTAAACATATCATTGCAGGAATGAAATAAAATATAGAACAAATGAATTCATATGTGATTTTTTTATTTAGAATTAACGTAATGATGTTCTAATATATAAAGAGTGAAATAACGTTTTAAACCCCCAACTAAAATATATAAAAAACAAATCCTTAATACAAAAAACACTAAGATTTTCTTTCATCTTTCTAATAAGAAACATTCATACTCGCTGGAGTCCAATACATCAATACTATTGCAAAATTCCTCTTAATTCATTTGGCGCTAATTTTATTCAAACACTTAAGAAACATTCTGACCCAACATATAGTTAAACTTCATGATCGTAAAAAATATGAAGTATTTCAAAATAAAAAAATTTAATGATAGAAAGTAATGTGTTGATTCCAGGAACTCCCTAGCCACTCCTTAAATTTTTAATTAAAAAATTTTAAGATTAACATACCCAATTTTTAAAGATATATATATATATATATATATATATATATATTATGTACCTAAAAGTTCTAGTTAAAATATATGTGTATCTTAAGTATGTTTTATACAGTAATGCTAAGTAGCCAACTGTTGGCTCCGTTAAGGAGCCAACTGTTGACTCCTTAGCATTACTGATGTTTTATATTTCTCATTAGCCAACTCCAAGTTTACTTTGTTGAGTCCCGTCTCTCGTTGCGGTTATTGCTAGTTGATATTGTACATTAAGTAATTTTATCAGTATTTTTACTCTTGGATTTAATGAAAGCTATAAGTTTTCTCATCATTCTTACCACTTATTTAGTTATTCTAATACTATTAAATAATTAAGGACCTTTCAAAGTATCTTGTTTGTTTTGAAACAAAAATTACTTATTATCATAAATTAAACGACAATTACATTGAATGTGTTATATTTTCTATCATATCAAAATTTTCGTAATAATAGTTGCACACAATATTATATATAATGCATTTTTTTATATAGATTTGGAGTCCTACTTTTACTACAACAAAATGAGAAAATTCCAACGAAAATTACAACAAGAATATAACGATCTTCTTAAGTTGAATTGAGAAAAATCATGTCTTTTGGTTTCTTAAATATATTTTATCTTATTGTGATTGTATTGATTTATTAAAATGTATAACAAATGAGAAAGGTGATAGATGATGTAACGTATAATTTATAAATTACAATGACATGTTCTTTTGATGATATATTTTTTATATTAACTAAATAATGCCCCCAATATGAAATTATTTTGGATCTAACACTGCAATTAGCTCTCCAATAGAATTTCCATTGAATTTTTGCACTATTCCAATGACAGTTTTTCCAACGATTGAATATATGGTCCAAAAAAAATTCCAATAGAAATTCAAGTAATTGAAATCTTTAAATCCACTAAAGTTCATGTAATTTAATTTGAACTCAGTAGGAATAGCCAATGAAATTATCCAATGAAAGCAATATTTATGAAATATTCGTTGGAATTTTCTGTAGAATACCTTACCGTTGAATTTTTCATTGCAATATAGCAATTTGTTGTAGTCCTCTTAAACATTAATTTTTTATGTAGTATTTATTGATTAATAGTGTTTACAATTTTTCTATTAAAATATATTAAAAACATGAACTTTTTAGTTCCTATATTTTTTTTTCCAGAAATCACTCATTATTTTATCTTAAGATTACCTATTAATTTACCAATTGAGTTACGTTTCTTACATATTAAATATTTAAAAATTAGAATATTTTTTATTTTATATGTTCAATATGATATTTATATATTATATTAAAAAAACTAATATAGCAAATAAAAAGTTGTTTAAAATTAGAATAATAAAGATTTGCTTTTGGTAACTTACATGGATAAATGGACAAATAACTTTGTCTATCACATCAAATTTACACATAAAGTTATAAGGACAAAAAACTAACAAGCGTTTAACAACTCAGCTCGTTTACTTGATAAGTATATTTATAAAAGGTTTATATTTCTTCTAATAATTATAACATTTTTATTTATTACTTTGTTTCATATTTATTAGTACGTGTCACAACTTATTTATTTTTAATATTATTTATCATATTTAATATTTTTTTAAAATTTTATCTTGTTATTTTACATGTTCTTAACTGTAGATTTGTCAAACAATGCATAATATAAAGTCTACAAGTTTTTCGTTCATCTGTCTCATTATATATCAAATATTTCTATATCTTATATTATATTATATTTAATTACAATTTCTTTTTAATTTATACTATAATTGAATATTTAAAATTCATAAATTCCTCAATAATATTGTCGAGTCAACTTTTGTTCAAAAAATTTTAAAAAACATAATTGCTTACAATTATTTGCTTATGTTGAATTGAGGCAAGTTATGTTTTTTTAATTGTAACTGTATTGATGTGTAACATGTATTATAGATAAGAAAGATGACAAATTATGAAAACTATAATTTATAAATTATAATGATATTATGTTATTTTAATGGTATACCTTTTCTATTAACTAAATAATGCCTCAAGTATGAAATTATTTTGTATCCACCATTGCATGTAGATTTTGAATAAAACTTCCATTGAAATTCTTACAATTCCAGTGACATTTTTTCCAACTGTTGAAATATGACCCGAAAAAAATTCAAACAAATATTCACACAATAATAAATAATGATAATTAGATTAATTAAATCAACTGAAATTTCAATATAATGTAATTTGATCTCTGTTGGAATAGTCAATGAAATTTTACAGTGACAGCTATACGAATAAAATATCATTTGAGATTTTCAATGGATATGTCTTACCATTGGATTTTTCATTGCAATGTACCATTTTTTTATTCCTTTATAAATTATATTTTTTATGTAGGAGTTTTTGTTATTAATTAGATGTATTTATAATTTTTCTATTAAAGATATATTAAACACATGAACTTTTTAATCCGTATATTTTTCAAGAAATCCCTCATTATTTTATCGAAAGACTACCTATTAACTTATCAATTGAGTTACATTTCTGGCACGTTAAATATCAAATAATAAAAAGTATTATTTTATATATATAATATGATATTTATATATTATTTTAAAAAACTAATAGCAAATAAAACGTTATTTGAAATCAAAATTATCAAAGATATTTTTAAAAAAATAAAAATAAATTTCTAACCTATATGGATAAAAGTATAAATAACAATTGTCTATCGTCTAAAATTTATACACTGAACTAATAAAAGCAAAAATTTAACATGTGGTGAACAATTTGGCTCGTTTACATCGATAAGTACAAATTTAAAAGTTCTACAATTACTTTTACTAATTATAATATTTTTATTTATTACTTTTTTTCATAGTTATTAATAAGTGTTACAACTTAATTATAAATTTAATATTATTTATTAGATTTATTATTTTTTAACTTTAAATTGTTTTTTCATGTGTATTTTAATATATATGTGTCTGTGTGTGTATAACTTTTAGTCCTGTTAAAAAATACATAAAATTAAAGTATAGCACGCTTTTGAATCATATGTCTTATTTATATCAATTAATTTTATATATTTATATTATATTATATATAATTATAATCTTCTCATTTATACTCAAATATATAAATTTTTTATTTCTTACATTTTTTTTTCTTAAAAACTATTTTATTATAATAACACCTATTAATAGATAGATGAGTAATGATAATATATGAATATACTTTTTTGATTAAAATTAATTAGTTTTCAACATGTAAATCATATCATGATTCTCGAGATATTTTTAATTAATTTGTAGATAATTATATGGTTAAAATTATTCCATGTTGCTAAAGTGGTATCTCATTTAACGTGAAAACAAATAGATTAAGTTTTAGTATTATACAATATCATAAAATTGTTCTGGTCTTATGTACCGAAGAAATTGAATTGATTAGAAGTTTAGGTTGCAGAACAATCATTCAACAAGTAATCTCGCATACTATTACCCAATTTGTATAGGTTATTTTATTATGCTTTTTTTGTTGGATCAATTTTAATGTCTTTAAAGAACTTTTATATATTAGAGTTACGAAATGTGATTACAATATTACCATTAAAATTATATTAAAAATAATGACATTTTTTAAAACAACAATTCTATATCCTATCAAATAGTTTTAGAGATATGTGGAAGAAAACAAATTCGTGAGAAATAATGGTGCCAAACCAACATATTGTAGTTGCTTTTTGGAGTATGGAATGATTTGTTCATGTAGTTGTATGTAATTAATTAAATATTAGTTATAATTAAAAATATAAGATATGATGGACATTAGTATATTACTAATTTACCATTAAAAAGATGTCAAAGTAAGAGTTTTTTAGGTAATTTATTTTTATATTTAAATATATAAAATATGATGTGTATTAGTGTATTACTAATTTGCCATTAAAAATATGTCAAAGTAAGGATTTTTTAGGTAGTTCATATTTTTACAAAAACACTCGTCCTTTTATAGTAGTATAGATTATTCATTTAATCACCTATTACAATCAATTTTATCTACATCATTTTTACATTATTGTTTTGCTAAACAACTCTCTATTTAAACACTATTTCACATTTATTGAATCATTTTGGGTGTGATCGGATATGGATTTGATTGGTTTTTATTAATTATTTTTGAACCATAATTAATTTTAAAAAATGTAGTATATATGTTTAGTTGTTAGTGGGAATCTAAATTTAAAAATGTGGTATCACTCCACGCCATAGTTAATTTTAAAACATGTGGTATAACCATTTAGAAGTTTTCACTATCCTCTTGCCTCCCAAAGCAAGATACCGGCTAATATCGCCCTCTTACATAGAATTCAGGGAACACCCTTCTGTGACTTGATGTGGAGTGATCTTGAAGAGATAGAGACATGGGTTGTTAGTCCTCGAGGAACAGGCTGGTTTTTTTGTTATGGGGTTTCATCTTCGTTCTACCATATTAACAAACTTGATCTAGTTTGTCGGGCAAAGGAGTACCGGAAGATAAAAAAAACGCGGACGTTTTCGTCGGAAGGTTCTTGTTGTGCTGGAAAAATTGTTGGAGGTAGAAGCGGCTTAGGAGAACTTGCGAGATATCCCCGCCACCAATTTATGAATTTATCCTTGAAGACAAGGATATACTCGAAGGGGACGATGCGAACCAAGTGCCCGAGCAGCCAAACGCCGCACAGGCAATCGTGCGCACAGTAGCAGACCACACAATCCTCGTGTCGCGACAACCGTCGCAAGCCAATGGAGATTCGAGAGGCGCCAGGCCTCGCGCTGGGAAGCCATGTCGCGCCGCTATGTGCCAACGAGAGCAGGGACCAAATTAGCAATTCTTCCATTTTTTAGTTTAGTTTTGTTATTTTTTATTTTTCTAGGACCTTAGTTGTAATTTTAGAATTTTATCTTCTTTAAAACTCGTGTATTGATCATTTGAAAAAACCTATGAAATATGAGACAAAAAATCGCTAGCATTCTAGCACAAAAATCTCGTGTTAACTGACGATTATTAAAGCGAGTTTTTACAAATTCAAATGGGTGGTACTATTTATCGCCCCCCATTTTACTACTCACCGCCCCCCTTGGACGATTTTACCCTTTTTATTTTGTCTAAACATCTCAGAGAAAAGTGTACGGTGAAATGTCGTCAAATTCGGAGGTACGAAAATTATTGTGTCCGGCCACCGGACGGCTTTTAGCCCGTCCGACCGTCGGAACCGAATGGATTTTAAGTCGTCCGGCCGGCCGATTCGGACGGGTTAAAAGCCGTCTGAAAAGTTCGGCCGGTCGGACGGGCTATATCCGAACCGGCCGGCCGGACGCTTTAAAAGCTGTCCAGCGGCGACGGCCGGTCGGAACCGGTCCATCCGGTTCAGCTGGCCGGATAATTTTTTTTGTTTTTTGTTCTTTAAATTATTATGTTATATATTTGAAATAATTATGTTATAAATTGAACTATATTATTATGTTATAAAGAAGGGGAAATTCTATTGGAAGGCCTAACTTTTAGTAATTGTATTAAATTAAGGCCTGGATTTTGTACTTTTTCAACAGAAGGCTTATATTTTAGGTCATTCTCACTTTAAGGCTTACATTTTAGTTAACTTTCCATTATAAGGCCCGAACTAACTTTACCTTTTCATATGAATATATAAAAAACTATTATGTGAATAAAAAGTATTATTATTATTTTGTAATTTATATTTTGCATACTTATAGATAAAATTATATTAATAAAAATTAATTTTAACTTTTCTTTTTGGAAGAAAAAGTTGGTACTATGTCATTACTTGTTGAAAATGATATATTTTTGTAGATTGCATTTATATATTATTTTTAGTTTTACTTATTTATATTATAAATAAAAATAATATTTCATATTTTTTAATTCACTTATCATTTTTTTAAATTATTCATGATTAAACTTTTGCATAAATATATTTTATATAGTTTCGCTTTATTATTAAGTAAATATTACTAAAGATATTTATTATAAGTATGTAAAATATAAACTAAATAAAAAATTATTTTTGTTCACATAACTATATTATAAAATAAAGTTAACTGGTTCACATATTTATATCAAAATATAAAGTTAATTGAGCCTTACAATGGAAAGTTAACTAAAAAGTGAGCCTTAAATTGAGAATAACCTAAAATATAGGTCTAATATTGAAAAAGAATAAAATTCAAGCCTTAAATTGATACAATATAAAAAATTTGAGCCTTCCAATGGAATTTCCCCTATAAATTATTATGTTATATTTTAGACTTGATTATGCTACAAATTGGACGTTAAATATTATTGTGTTAGGAGTTACAAATTGTTATGTTACATGTTGATTATGGTATAAATTGGACGTTAGATATTATCGTGTTACGAGTTAGAAATTATTATATTACATGTTAGTCTTGGTTATGTTATAAATTGATGTTAGATAGTATCGTGTTAGGAGTTACAAATTATTATGTTACATGTTGATTATGGTATAAATTGGACGTTAGATATTATCGTGTTACGAGTTAGAAATTGTTATATTACATTTTAGTCTTGGTTATGTTATAAATTGACGTTAGATAGTACCGTGTTAGGAATTAAAAATTATTATGTTACATGTTATAGTTGATTATATTATAAATTGGACGTTAGATATTATCGTGATCGTGTTAAGAGTTACAAATTATTGTGTTGCATGTTAGACTTCATTATGCTATAAATTGGACGTTAGATAATATCATGTTATGAGTTACAAATTATTATGTTACATGCTAGAATTAATTATCTTAATTTAACATGTCCTAAAAATATAAATATTGTACTATATAGCAGGAGTCATGGGAAGATTTTGGAGGAGATGGTGTTTATTACAGTCTGAGTTTCGATACATGTACATTATTTAATAGTGCTCAGGACGCTCTTGAAGTTGCAAAACACCAGAAAATATTGAATGGTTTCCTATTAGTAATTCCGAGCCACAAAAAGAAAACGGTCAAGTTTTTTAAGTGCCATAGAGGCGAACGCTACAGAGGCACAAGCGGAAATTCCAGAAAGAAAAAAAACAAATAAGTGCGGCTGCAATTTTGAGATCAAAGTAAAAAAGGTGTCCGACGCTCCATACTGGAGGATCTGTAGATGTAGCAATGAAGAGAAGGGCTACCATAACCATACATTTGTTGTGTATCCTGAGGGTCATCGCCAGTTGAGCGGCCTCAGCACTTCATCTAAGAAAATTGTTCGTGATATGACGAACGCTCAGGTGGCCCGACAAAAATTATGGCCGCGCTGAAGGAAAAGAATCCGGAAGACAACGTTCATTGCGACAGGTATATATATTATATCTTGTAATATATGTTTTAATTAACTTTTTGAAGTTAATTATTATAATTAGTAATTTTTTATACGTAAAAGTTACTGTAATAATTAATAAATTTTATTATATTTACTAATGTATTATTATTGTGATAGTTAATAATTTTTTTATCAAATTAATCGCATTAATATACTTTTTTATTTATTAATATAATATTTTTTTTGTTTTAAATTATAATAATCATTATAATTAACGCTAATCGGTGACAGATATATAACTTTAGAGATAAGCTGCGGAAAGAGAGTTTCGACGGTAGAGACGTTCCTTCCCAGCTATGCATTTGGCCGTGAGCAGCGAGTATACAATTTATGCAGAATCCGATCCGAACACGAAAGCGTTGACGCATATATTCATGGCCCATCCTACGTTGATCAATCTATTCCGGACATATCACTATTATGTCGGCATAGATTCCACGTATAAAACCAACATGTATGTTACTTTATAAATACTTTATTAGTATAAATCTTAAATAGTGTGTTTGATTAAGTAAACTTTTATTTGATTATATTTTTCGTCTTCTTGGTCTCATTTGCACAGGTACAAGATGCCGTTAGTCGAAATGATTGGGATGACACCGTGCAACCAGAACTTCCTAATTGCGTATGCGCTCATCAGGGACGAAAAAGAGGCCAGTTACGACTGGGTTCTAGAGAAGTTGAGACTACTGATAGGCCAAGACGTATATCCTTATATTGTTGTCCGTGACAGAGAGTTGGGTTTACTCACTTCTATTCAGAGGCATTTTCCTGAATCAGCCCACTTACTCTGCACGTGGCACATCAACAAAGATGTGGAAGACAAAGCCTACAAACTATTTGGGAAGAGTAAAAAATTCTCGGAGATTTTCACGCACAGTACGTGGAAAGCGATTGCAGAGGCCAGTACGTTTGATGCCTACACCGATGCCGTTGCCGAGCTGCACGCAAAATATTCGAAGTCTTCAGAGGTGATATCGTATGTGGAGAGCACATGGTTAGGGCACCGCGAGAAGTTTGTCAAGGCTTGGACCAACCAAGTGACACATTTTGGAAACAACAACTTCCTGTAGGGTGGAGAGTGCCCACTCTGTGTTGAAGGAGTGGCTTCACACGTCCACCGACGCGCTCTATATAATTTGGCAGAAGATTAATAAGCATATCGATAATCAAGTGACTGAAATCAAGTACGTACTGCAATTTTTAAATGCGTTATTATATTACTGCATTAATTAATTATAATCTAACGTTATGTAACGTATTATCAGGACGGCGCTTGAGACCTCGAGATCTAAGAAGAATACACGGTATAAGAGAATCCTTTTCGCGAGCGTGATACTGAGGGTCTCGCATTACTGTCTGAGTTTATTGGACGCTGAGCTTACGAGGATGCACGACTTGGACGCCGATGTTTACACTAGCTGCGGCTGTGTATTGCAGTTCACTCATGGACTTTCTTGTGCCTGTCTGCTCCGTAACGCTGTTGATTTCAAAATTCCGATTGATCTCAGAATGATTCACCAGTTCTGGAGAACGCTACAGATGTTAGAGCCAGGTAATTTAAGGTTAATGTTTTATTTATAATTTTCTACTTGTTGTTTCATTTTTAATTATAATTTATGTAATTAAAATACATTATTTAGTTTAATTCATTGACTTTTTTATCGTATACTTGTTGGGACTGGTCATCAGAGCCAGGCGAGCCAGGCTGCATGGTCAGATGCGGAGTTCTTTCAGACGCTTGTGAGTGAGGTTGAAACCCGCGATCCCGCGACGATGCGGTACGTGAATCAGTTCATGTACAGTCATCTTTACCCAGACCAACAGAATTATGCGGAACCTGAGGTTAAGGATAACCCGCGAGGTCGTCCCAAGAAAACTAATTCAACTAAGCGTAAACCATCTGCTTTTGAGTACAACGATAGATCGCGAGGTTGGAAATCGAGCCGTACGACCACTTCTTCGCGTGGACAGACAAGTTCGTCTTCTCAACAGTCACAAGGGGAAGCAACTCATACATTTTCTTTTAGCGTTAATTAAACTATTTATATGATTATATAAATTGTGACGTGAAATTATTATGATATTTATTGCAGAGTTTAGACCGACAAATATATTTGAATTTTCAATGTGGCAAAATATCCCCTGGCATATGTTGGACTACATAGTGAGTTACCTGAATGTGGATGCGGATGGTAACTGCGGATTTCGGGTCATCGCGAGTCACGTGTATGGTCACCAGAAGTACTAGACAGATGCAAGAGAAAGCATTGCGAAGGAGGTCGACAGCCACCGTGAATTGTACGAGTACATCTATTTTAGAGATATCGATACCGGACTCCGTCGCGTAATGTGGGGCAACGGACCTTGTGGACGGGCTCACTAGTTCGAAGTTCCGCAGGACCTCTACGCCATTGCGACCCTATTTAATGCGGTTGTCGTTCTGTTGGGCTCTGGTCCGCAAGGTGGGCAACACGACTT